CCCGTGGGCGCCGCCCTCCGCCCGCGCCCTCTCAGCGGCTTTACCTTTTCTCTCGGGTGGTTTGAAGAAGTCCGCCGAGAAGAAGACCGAGGACTCCAGGTCTTTCGGGAACTTGCCCCGAAGGTCCTCGAACCGCGGCACCCTGGCTCCAGTGAAGTTGAACTTGTTGAAGACGTCGACAGCGAGAACTGCGCGGACAGGTGCATCCATCACGCGCGGCTCCCGGGCCCTCCCGCGCGGAGCCCGCCCGGACCCTTGCCGTCCCGCCCGACCGGAACGGCTGTCCCCGATCATCTCTGACACGGAGCCTCCGTCCACCTTCCTGCGTCCTCTAAACCTGCTGGGCCCCAGGTGGCGTGCCTAGCCTTGGAGAAACACGGGCCACGTGCCTTGGAGCTCGGAGGGCGGGACAGAGAGCAGGGTGCCCCCGGCCCCCACCGCACGGGCATGTCACCTCCCTGCTCCTGTGTCCTTGCCAGGCTGCAGAGATGGACTGCTACAGAATCAACAAATCTTAGAAACCCTAATTCTCTCTGCCTCCGTCTGGAGGAGGCAACTGGGCAGGCGCTAAGACATCGGAAGGGGCTCGGCATTTGTGTGTGTTTGCCGACAGGCCAAGTCTGAAGCTGTGCCTTTCCGTCAGTGCTGACGGCCACTGCTCTGAGGGCCTGATGACGAAAAGGCTGACTGCCATCCCAGCGGGTCCAGGGTGACCCCTAAGTCATCTGCTGAGCTGTCCGATTCAACTCTGCCAATGGAAAGGGTGCCCTCGAGTTACTGCATGAGACGGGCTGTGCTCCCACCTGAGACTCTGGGTGGCCAGGGTTGGTGGGAGCCCTGGAATGTGGGAGGCAGGGCACAGGCAGGAGCCAACGGCCCCGAGGAAACGGGAGGATGGACAGGGATGACCAGCAGCCTGAGCACAGGGAGATCTAAGGAGAAAGGTCTTGGCCCAGCACAGGGGGATGGTCCCAACCCTAGAGGATCAGGGATGGACGCTGGAGGGGGTGCGGGCAGAGGTGGGCGGCAGACTTGGCCCAGACCTGCCTGAGGGCTCTGGAAGGGGCTGGGAGGCAGGCTGCACCAGGTGCCCGTGTCCTGTCCAACATTTGTCCAGCTCTGCGAGGCTCTCTCCAGGGACAGAAGCAGGAATGCCGTGGCGCTCACCCTGCTCTCCTGCCCCAGTAAAGACACGGTCCTGAGCCCACCTCCACCCCAGTGCAGGGCAGGTGGGATCCTGGGCTCAGGGGGGCCTGAGAGGTGCAGACCTGCCCGAACATCTCTGGGTTAAAGGCTCAGGCCCTTCCGGTGATAGATAATTGGATAAATCAAGAAGCGACGCCCCAAGAAAAGGCAGTCCTTTGGTCCTGCCGGAGTCCCTGATGTGCGGGCTTAATAAGCAACTGCAGGAGGAAACCAGCTGCCCTGATGGTGGGAAGACCCTCCAGGGACCTCGCTGCTCTGTCCATGCGGGTGGGGCTGGTTCTAGCCTCGGGGCTTCCTCCCCAGGAAGCCAACTGCTTAGCCCTGACCCCTGGAGCAGCACATCCTAGGCCCTCGGGGTGACTTGGTCCACAGGTGTTTGCTTTGCTAATAGCTCAGCTCCCAGCCAGGGAGAGATGCATTCCCCCTCCGCCCAGGTGTCAGCTGCCTGTCCCTGTCCCTCCGTGGGTCTGTGCATCTAGTGAGCCTGGAGGCTGGTCCTGCGGCCAGACCCTCCCCAGCCACTTCCCTGGACAGCCCTACACCCAGCTCTGAAAGACCACAGACCACCAAGATCTTGCCAGAGTGCTGACCCTTTCCCAAGAGATGGCTGAGCCCCAGGGTTCGGCCAGCGCAGTGCCCCCACCGCCCGCCTGCTGGTCCGCAGCCTTACTCATGTTGGAGGTGACAATGACAAAAGGCCTCAGGTAGGTCTTCCGCAGGTTGCGGGCCACGTTGCTGAGATAGGCCTCGAAGCGCCTCAGCAGGCGCGCGGTGCCCCCCTCACTCCGCTGAATCTGCTCCCACGCGGCCCTGGTGCTCGGGGCCAGGAGCGCGCTGCCCGCGCGGATGACGTCCTGGTCAGACAGACAGATGGCACTCACGTCACACATGCGGCCGGCCCGTGGAGGCCTGGCTCACTCACTGGGGCACAGGCTCTAGAAGGCATTCTGCTCTCAGGACCAGGCGGGGCCAGGACAGAGATGGGCAGAGACTGGGGGTGGTTTCATCTCAAAGGCGGGAGACGGGTGTCAGTGGGGAAAGCTTTCTGGGGGTCTCGCCGTGTGCATCCCGAGACACAAAGGGGAGAAGGCACCTCTTAGTAGCTGCGTGCCCTTGGCTCCCTGTGCCTCAGTTTCCTTAACTGTAAAATGGGGCGAGAGCTGAGCTACATCACAGGATGCAGGGAACAGTGGACTAATTCACATAAACCACCGAGAACACTGGCGCGAGAATACGTAGCGGTCAGCTGACGGCGGCCATCACTGCCAGCATCATCAAGTCTGTGACCTGCACGTTCCGTTCCTTCCCCAAAACACTCCTAATGCCCGTAATCAGTTTTGCTGGTCCCTGCACTGGTCTGGACACATATTTGAAAAGGGCAGTCATTTCTTGAGGACACTGGACACGACCATGATTCACAGCCGAGTGAGGGCTCCCGGCTGTCCTCCAGCCCCAGCTGGACACCCGAGCTTGCAGCTCATCCGGGACACGTGGCGCTTCCTGTCTGCCCGCCTCCCTCCTACCTCATGGAAGGTGGCATCCCGCGTGGCCGCCAGCTCGAAGCCCTGCTGGCCGCTCTCGTGCAGCAGGATGTGGGCCAGCAGCTGGTAGGCCGTCCGCACGTCGCTGCCGAAGAGTGTGTCTGGCTGCTGCGTGGCATTGCGCAGCGCCTGGGCCAGCCGCAGGGACCGGTCGCCGTCCATCCGCGTCTCGTTCCGGCTCAGCTTCTCGTTCTGGAACGGGGAGCGAGCACGGTGTCTGCAAACCCACAGCAGCTGTCCTGGGCCCCTCTTGTCACTCAGAACCTGCTACTCTCCAGGGGAAATGTCCTCATCAGAAGAGAATTTAAGAATCCCAAACCCCCAAGGTGAACTCAGGCCGATGACCATGGCACGAGACAGGAGCATTTGTCAGGCCATAAAGTGCTTGGAAAAAGACACCAAGTGGAAAAAGGGAGAGAGGATGACGCAGTGAGCCAAGAGCGGGGGGCAGGGAGGTGGCTGGGACACGGGGACCCTGCATCCACAGGCTCAGACGCAGAGCAGGGTCTGGAAAGGAGAGAGGAGACGGCTGCCGCAGGTGCCCCAAACAGATGTGATTTTTCTGGGGCCATGCTGGGCTGGGACCAGCACGATCCTGGCTGCCTGGTCGCCCACCCCTTCCTGGAACCGCATACGCACACACATCCCTCGGGTGCAGCCTACCAGGGCTTTGAGGTCCACAAAGGAGGCGGTAGTGCAGTTAAAGAGCTCCGGGGGCAGCCAGCCCTTCTCCCCGCTGCAGTGCCGGACAGCGTTTCCTAGCGAGCAGAGACACACACAGACACACAGAGACACACATAAATCCTGAAATCTGAATTGTTAATTCACCCCTCGGCTGGCCCAGGACCAGCAGGTGCCACAGCCATGAAGCCAACGCAGCTCTCTTTTCTCAAGCCTGGGGCCACGTCTACAGCTGTCTGACGTTCACAACAGGCCTTACAGTTGGCCTGAGCTGCCCAGCACTAGGAGTGCACATCTGAGCAAATCCAAGAAAGCAGAGATCACTGAGTGGCTGGCGGAGGACCCACCAAGTCTGCAGCACTGCCCACCTGCCGGGGTCTGAGGGAGGGCTGTGTGCATCCCTTGCACCATCTCTGGGACCTCCCCACGCCCCTTGAGGCACAGGCACAGCTCCTGTCCCCCTTTTACAAAGAGATCCCAACTCTGAGAATGGTGAGCAGCTTCCCTGGGTCCCCTGGCCACTACACTCTCCATGTTTTCATCATGCTCTTTCCAGGTTTTGTCATTTACGACTGAGGAAAAGGTTCTTACTCCCCCCAGCACACTGGCTACAGAAACAGCTTCAGCATGGAACATCCCGTGAGTGCGATGCCTCGGCCAGCTCTCCCGCACGCCACACGCCTCCATCTGACGTCCTGCCTGGAATGGGCCCACAGCCACACACCGTGGTACTTACCCACTGACCCTTTGGGGCACGGCACCGCGGCCGGCTGCCCGAACTTGGTCTGCGGCCACCAAATGCCAGCCTCAAATGCCCTGGGACACCCGTTGTAGATCACTAGGGCACAGAAGAAGGAAGGCCCTCAGCCCAGCACAGCCGTGCCCACAAACGCCTCCCACAGCTCTCTACAAACCCCTCCCGGGAGGGGGCCCCGCCCCCACCAAGAACGGGACCCCTCGCATCTCTCTCATTTGTGTCAAAGCCGGGGGTGGGGGTGACCCAGGCTCCGACCACGCCTCCTGGAGGGCCAGTTAATAGAAGGTCAAGCAGACCCTGTTGGACCACGAGGCCGCAAGGATCCTCCGTACCCCAGGGGTATGTGGTACACACACTCACACACACTCACACACACATAGACACACACTCACACACAGTGGCCCATCCCTGCCCTGCCGCCTCAGGGTGTCCAGGGCATTGCTGACCTTCACAGCCAAGGACCGTGACCTCGGCGAAAGGGTTGTCGCAGCGATTGCACTGGCGGCCGACGACACCGGGCTTGCAGGTGCACTGGCCGGAGTCCATGTCGCAGGCGCGGCTGTGGGAGCCGTGCGGGAAGCAGTCGCACGGCAGGCAGGCGTCCTGCTCCGGGGGCCGGTAGTAGTTCTCCTGCAAAGGCCAGAAGCGGCCCAGGACCTCAGACATGGGCAGAGGCCCTGCCTCTGGGGGACCAGAGGGCCCAGCCCGGCTGCCCGGGATCAGCGCTGCCCTCCGCCCAAGGTCTCCGGCCGGAGGCTCCGGACGGGCGGCTGTGTCCTCAGGGAGACTCTCCCTCTCTCATGTCCCAGCAGACGCTCACTGTGGGCCCCTCTGTCCTAAAAAGGACCAGAGATTCAAATGGACACCTACGCAAAAGGGTGCCGGCAGGGCTGATGGATTTTTTTTCTTTTTTTAATTGTGAGAAATCAGAAGCCGCCTGCAGGTGGTCACTGGACAGGTCAGGGCGAGGTCAAGGGCATGGGCTTCAGTTTTGCAAAGTCATGGATTTAGGCCCAGCTTGGCTGTTCACTGGCCACATTGCCCTTGCCAGGTCACTTGGCCTCCCGAGGTCCAAGGGTCTCCTCCCGAAAGCGGAGACAGGCTGTGACTTCGGCAGACTCGTGGCCAGTGACAGTGACACGGGCTTCTGTGCCCGGCAGAGACATGGGACAATCCCACGGGAGGTCCAATTGTGTGTCTTTCAGTGCCTGGAGGAGCCACTAAATATGTACAGTCACTCTGGGAGGGGTCACAGGGGTCACTGTCACTGTTTACAGCCCTTCTTGCATTTTTCTATGTATTTTTTCTTTAAAAAAATGTTTAATTTTTATTTTTTGATTTACACTTGTATTAGCTTCTGGTGTACAGCCTCATGATTCAGTTACACGTATATATACATATTCTTTTTCATAACAGGCCACTACAAGCCATTGAGTATAGTTCCCTGGGCTATTTTCTGTAATTTTTTATGGAAAAAACTCTAAGCATGTTTCCCCTAGTGCCCTCCCCACTTTCCTCCTGCCCACGTATGCCACGGCCACCACCTCGGGCCACGTGGCTTGTGTGGTCCTCATCTGCTAGGGCATTGTGATTTTTCAGGAGAAAAGCCACGCACAGAGGCACACGTGGGACATGACAGACGTTAGACAGAGCACTGGGGGCGTCAGAGCTGCCCTTCCTGGGTCAGCAAACCCGGCCACATGACAGTGTGTCCCTCTGAGTGGTTACAGACAGAACTTCCCTCTGGGCTTCAAGTTGCCCATAGCTGACGTGGGACACATCCTGAAGGCATGGGGTGTTTCCCGGGAGGCCGAGGGGTTCCATGTGATCTGGACTGAGAACACTGCAGCTCGTTCCAAGACCACGAGGAGGTGACCCCCACCCCACCCGGGAATGTCAGGCACCCGAGGTGGGGGTGTGGGCTGAGCTCCTCATACTTTGCATTCTGGTCCTCGCTGAGTGCTGGTCTGATGAGAGAAAATGGCCCACCGGCAGAACCACGGCTGACAGAGATGATGCCAGACTCACAGAAACTGCTCGCTTTCTGGGGACCGTGTGTGGGGCTGGGGACTTGAGTTCCCACGGTTGGAGCCAGCACACAGGTGAAAACCGGGCCTGGGGCATGTACACTGCGCGGGGGGTCAGTGAAGACACTGGGCCCCGTTAGTAGCTGAGTGTGTGTGTGCAGGTGTCCGGGGAGACGTGTGTGCAGGTGCGTGTGCACCCACCTGCAGCCTGGCCTCACCTTGCACTGACACTGTCCGTTGGTCTTGTTGCAGTCGGGGTCGAAGCCTTTGTTAACGGCACAGTGGCAGGGTCCACACACGGGGTTCCCCCACCAGCCTTTGGGGCACGGAAGGTCGATCCTGTTGGGAAAATTTGGGAAGGAGAGGAACCCTGGAGGCCTGGGCCTTGGCCGGTCTAGTTCTGGGCACCACCCTCCCCCTTGAGTGGTCTGTTTCCCCCTCGGTGGCCCCCCACCTGCAGGACTTAGAGTTTCGCATTGTATGCCCAGACTTTCGGGCCGCCCTTCTGGAATGGTTCTACCATTCCTGTTCCTAAGTTTAAGGATACTGTTCCTTAAAATAGTTTGTCTTTTCATATTTTTTCTTTTACCTGGAAGATAGAGGTGAGTACCCCCAGCTCAGCTTCCAGAAAGCACTGGCGCCCAGCTCACAGGGGGTGGGGTGCTCAGTGACGGCTAGCCAGCCCCTAGGCCAGCTCTTCATAATCCAGCCCTCCCAGAGCAGAATGAACCCAGCTGCCCTGACAACCTTCCAGGACCCAGGCATCCACCAGCACAAGACACCCAGCGGGATTTGCATCATCAGTGGTCCCCAGGTCCCCAGGGCAGATGCTGACCACATCCCCATGGATGCTCAGAGCAGCCTTTCCAGGGAGGCAGAGCAGCTCCGTGCAGCCCCAGGTGGACTCAGTGGGCTCAGAGCCGCACTCCGGCCCAGTCCTGCCCTCGAGAAAGCCCAGCAGACCCTGAGATGGGCAGCGTCCCCGGTGACGGTGCCAGGCCCCTCCGACGCGCTGGCTGCTGCCTGCGGCCGTCACCCCAGCCTGGCTCCCAGCTGGACCGCTCACCTGAGGGTCACCTGCTGACCCGCCTGCCTGTAGGAAGCCCCCTTCCCCCCACGTGTCCTTCAGGCTCCTCAAAATGCGTGCCGCCCTGTGTTTAGGATCCTGGCTAACAGCGTTCCCTCCGCCCACCCCCATACCCACTCATTCGTCTAACCAGCAATTTTCTTTTTTAGCAGAGGGACTGGGGATTGAGCCCAGGATCTCGCGCATGCTAAGCACGCGCTCTACCGCTGAGCTGTACCCAACCCTACAACCAGCAGTTATGAAGTCCTGACCTTGTATACACTAGGGGCATAGAAATGACCCGGACAGGGTTGGGGCTCCAGTCTGGCGTTTACTGACCCACATTTATCACGTAGGGAGCGCAGACCCTCGGGATCATACCCCTTCTCACTGCCTCCTCAGCCCTGCACCGCGGGCCGCACCAGCCTCAGGGACGTCACAGCCTCCTGGCTGCGACCCTTGCCTCTGCCTTCCGTCTGCTCAAACCACACTCCACACGTGAGCCAGGGGTGCTTTGACACCAAGACCTGATACGCCACTTTTCTGCTGGGCCCCCATGGCTCCTCAAAAGCTAAGCTCTGTTCCTGGGTTGCAGGCAGGCCCCCGCCCAGGCCTTGTCTCCCCAGTGCAGAACATGCCTAGGACAGCACACGCCAGCTCTGCCCGGGGACTCTGCCTGCTAGCTCATCAGACCAGCCTCATCCCATCACGGCTCTCCAGCTAAGCCCCATTGGTTCCCCAGGAACGCCCTCTCCCTGCAGCCTCCCTGACTCCCATCCTGCCATCACCCAGCGGGCTGTGCGGTGCCAAGGGCACTGGCTGCCTCCCGCTCACGGTGGGGTTACGGCGCACTCTCGTCCCCAGGGGACAAAGAGCAGAGCAAGGTGTCCCTGACTGCACCCACACGGCTCCTGCTCCAGGAAGGATGGCACTGGCCGAGGACCACCAGCCATGACTGCATCACCGCCCAAGGGGCTGGAGTCCTGATGTGTGAAGACCCTAGTGGCCCCACCTGCCAGAACGTGATCCACCTGTGATGACTACACACCTGGGCTCCTGGGGCCTGGAGAGCACGAGGCTCCCTGATGAGCTGCACCAGGACCACGTGCAGTCAGGTGACTGCAACCCCGCGACTCGAAAGATCAATGTGTCCTGTGACTACATGCCTCTTCCTGCATCTCAGCGCCTGCCTGCTCTGGCAGCAGGGCAATAGATAAACGAGTCACATTGTACGTTTCTGGGGTGGAAATGTGCTCAAACCGGGTTAGTGTGAGACGCCCAACTGGATTCTCACTTACGTCACACCAGATTGAAAAAAAATGTCCCTGTGATCCAGATTCACGTGTATTCGGGGTTTAAACAACAGACCAGGGCAGGGGAAGCAGCCGCGGGGACCCTGGAGTCGGGGGCGTCCGCTCACTTGTTCTCGCAGTACTGCCCGTAGTGGCCGGACCCGCACTCGCACACGTAGCCCCGCGGGGACTCGGGGCTGTGCACGCAGGCCGCGACGTGCTTGCAGGGGTTCACGTGACATGCGTCCACGCACTTCCTCCCGAAGTACCCTGCAGGGACAGGCCAGCGTTACCCCACCCAGACCCCGCCTCTGGCGTTGCAAGCCCGCCGCCCGGACCGAGACCCCCTAAGTTAGGATCCTCCAGCAGTCTCCCCGAGACTCGGCTCCCCACGCTGCTCCGCAGAGGAAAGCAGCCACGTCCCAGGAGTCCCAGGAAACACAGACACCCAGCGGGTGGGTCAGACCTGACGACGCGGCGTTGAGAGCCTCCCAGGCTGCCCCCCTCAGGAGGGAGGGGCACACGGTGAGCAGGCCCCGGCCGAGCACGACTGCATCCCCTGAGTGCAGGGGCGGTCGCAAAGTGTTATTTTTCAGCGTGTGCTCTTCACTTAGTCTCCCCAACGTTGTGTGTGCCAGGAGGGTGCAGCCGGGAGTGTCCCCTGTGCCCCAAGTGAAGAGGCAGGAAGACAAGGCCACTCCCAGTTGCGAAACAAAGCTCAGGGCGCCAGGGACCCACAGGGCGGGGACGGGGAAGCCAGTGCGGAGACTTGGCTTCCACCCCAGAGCCGTCGCCCTCCGCTGAGTGGCATCAGGGAACGGGCCGTGGGCACCCACCTCTGTCGCAGACGCAGGAGTAGCCGTCCCAGGTGTTGTGGCAGCGGCTGTGCTGCGGGCAGGGGCTGGAGGAGCACGGGTCCTCCACGTCACAGCCGTCCTGCACCCTGACCTTCAGGGCGTCATTCATGTTCAGCGTGGCGATGTTGGTGGCCGTCTCCCCCATCCTCACTCCCTGCGTCAGAAAAGGGCAACTAGGGTCAGCCCCAGGGCCCTGGGGCTGGGGGAACCCCGAAAGGGAACCAGGGGCTCCGGGAACCTCAAATGCTCTGGGGTCTCCCATTTCAAAAGCGATGATGCCTCATCTATGAAGTGCTGAGACTTGTCGGGGGAGGGGCGCAGAGGGGGTGGGGGTGAGGGCAGGAATGAGGGCACTTCTCCATCCGTTGGCCCTGGGTCCCAGGCAGGGGACAGGCCACCTGGAATGAAGACGGAATGAGTCCTTGTTCTGCTAAGCCCATGGCGAGAGTCACAAAGGAAGAATGATGTGGATGGCGGGAGAGCATGGCGGCGGATGAAGGTGGGAGGGGCGGATGTGCAGGGGGGCGTCCCGGGGTGGGGGCGACCATGTGAGGCTCGCGGCGCCGGCTCACCAGGGTGCGGCGGCGCAGGCAAAGGAACTAAGGAGTTATTTCCTGCGCTGGGGGGCCGGGGGCGAGGGGAGCAGGAGGACGTGACTGTGACTTTACAAACAGCTCCTCCGGCTGCTGCTAGAATGGCGGGCCTCAGGGACGAGCCGGGGACCCGTTCGTGAGCCTAGGGGTTGCAGGCAGCGAGGGCGGACTCCAGACAAGACTCGAAGGCAGAGCTGCGGGTGGACGACCGACCGTGGTGTGATGCGGGGAGGGTGCGGGAGGGGAACAGGGAGCCTGGGGGAGGGAGGAGGGCTCTAAGTGGAAACAGGGTGTGTCAGAGTTGGGTTGGCGATAGACAGCTATTCGTTTACTGAAAAGTAGCAGGACACCAATGACACCCAAT